AGACTTAGATGCAAACTTAGATCCAGTCAAGTTACTGCTTGGGCATATATTACTACTTTGTAAAGTGATAATCTTCTCACATCGGGAAGTTATCACACTTGAGTGTGCGAGTTTGTATTCAAGTTTGGAGCACTTTGGTTGAAGTTTATCATACTATCTTTTACATTTCCATGACTTGTATCAAATTCAAGCCTCCGATTGGAGCAAGGTTCTAATTTAATTGCTTTCATTTATTTTATGCTCTTACCATAGTCTACATGTTTTATAGACTCTAAATGATCTTACCATAGTCTACACGTTTTATAGACTCTAAATGCTCTTACCATAGTCTACATGTTTTATAGACTCTAAATGCTCTTACCATAGTCTACATGTTTTATAGACTTTAAATGCTCTTACCATAGTCTACACGTTTTATAGACTCTAAACGCTCTTACCATAGTCTACACGTTTTATAGACTTTAAACGCTCTTATCATAGTCTACACGTTTTATAGACTTTAAATGCTTACCATGTATAGCTAAATTTATTAGGGTTAGAATGTAAGGATCGAATCATAACTATGTTCTACATGCCATGCTAATAGGAATACCTTTGGGATGTTTTAGTTTTTAATACTGGTTTAAATGTGTTTAAAAGTTTATGGGTAAGATTGAAAGTCGTCCATACTTGAGATTAAGCCAGATTAGTTCTTGACCAAACGAAAAGAGCGAAAGCAGTTCGTTTGGTTAAGTAGGATTACTTGATATAATTTTAGAAAACGATTTTGAAACTATTTGCGGACGCGTTTATGGGATTAAAATCTGATTCTTGGTCAAAAGCCAAGGATCTCTTTAAGTTATGTTTTCCAAATTAAAACACGTTTTCACTAAGTCAAAATAACTTGTTTCTTAAAAATAGGTTTACTTCTTTAACGCGTTAGGCACCCTTTATAAGTGACAATAAAAGAATTTAATTTAAAGAGTAAACTCGGTTCTTAGTATGCGAAAGCTACAAGTTCCTGTTAAATAGTTCTTTGCTATAAATGGAAAATATTGCCCAAAAGTAAATACTATACATGCATGCTAGGACACTGTCTGATCTCGTGATTTACATTCGATCTTGTTTGTTTTATCTCTTTAATTTTATTCGCTTTTATTTCCCTGTACTGAACTCAATCCCTTACTGATCTGCCTTAGATAAACACCTTAACAATATAGTCGATAGATTGACGATTGGTCTCTGTGATTCGATAATCTTATATATTACTTCGATAGGTTGTGCACTTGCAGTTATAATTTAGACTATACAGTAAAAGCCCATCATCACCCAGCGAAAGAAGAAAACTATGCACGAGTATGTTGACCGCATAACAAAAGTTTCAGTAGCAGTGGGGGCACAAATGATAGGTTGGAGTGTTGGATGTTTAATAAAGGATTGAGTGGGACTGCATGTTTCTAGAAAATCTAGGGCTCAAGAGATATTACAATTTAAGTGATTTTATGAATAAGGTGTGTTCTGGACTGGACTGGCACTTTCTCCACCGTTGGGGAGGCCCAAATAGTGCCCTTACAAAGGCCCAAAAGCGTGCAGTCCAAACTGAGGACCATTGGACATTTCCCCACGTGTCCACTAGGAGAATATGACTCATATGTCCATAACTCTATCATCCTGACCTCCGAGAATAACAGGTCCAACTTCCCTACTTTCTCGGGACAGTTGATTAGGGAGGAGACCACGTATTGAACTCCATACACCCTTAAACCCTGGCAGTCTTTGTTATTGGGTCTCATCATGGTCCATTAGTGAAGACATTGGCCCAGCGTTGGAGGCTATAAATACCATATCACTTGAGAGGGTCAGGTATTTATTCATTCATCTATACTCTCACATTCTACTTGCACTTACTATGAGCCTTACTTTGGCATCAGAGTGTCTTTGAGGTACCCCCCCCCCCCCACTTCACACTCAACAGCTGTCTGACTTGAAGCTTGTGGGCATTGAAGATCTCTTCTGATTGGGTATGATCAAAGTGTAACCCTATATAAATTATAAATAAGATCTCCTGGTCGAAGAAGGGGGAAGAGGTTAGCGAGGAACATCAAACACAACTGAGCATCAAAAAGATATAGTGGTCTTCGTAGAAAATAAGTGAAACACAGGCCCCGGTCCAACTTTAACTCCAACACTAAAATCTTGAAAGAATATATTAACAATGAGTTCAACGAATTCGGATCAAAAATCCCTACTCGATCAAAAAATTATCTAAGAAAGATAAGTTTAAACATTGTTGTTTCCAGAAGTGTCGCAGCCACAACACAAATGATTGCATCCATCTAAAGGATGGAATAAAAAAGTTTATTAAGAAAGGACGACTTATTGAGTACACTCTGGATAATGACCAGAATAGAGGCCAAGACAATAAGAGGGGCATAAGAGTCGGGAAAACTCTCCAAAGAAGAAATACTCCCCTTGTAGAGAAAAATCAACCTAGAAGACTATTGAAGATTTCATTGGAGCCAGATAAAGGAAAAACAACAATATTGAGGAAGAGAAAGACCGGAAAAGGAAGTGCCAATACATCACATCCATTACTCGTGGTCTTCCAAGAGCAAGGAACCCATCCAAAGGGATGATGAAGAGGAAAATCATCAAGCTGATGTTCGTAAACAAAAAAGAAAGGAACATTTCAATCAGGGAACTAGAGAGACATATATGCAGATTCCTTGACAATGAAAAGAAATAAGGGATCCCAAATTAGGTTTTACTTTAGGTGATAATGACTACCATCGCTAATTTTGAAGTTTCCCGAGTTCCCATTGATGGAGGAAGCTCTTACGATATATACTCATACCTATTTGATAACTTGGGATTGAAGAAGGAAAATTTGCGGCCCTATGAAAAATCTGGCCTACAGTCCTTCAATGGTATAGTAACTTGTCCCTATGGGTACGTCGAACTAACGGTCACTCTAGGTGAGGGAAGAGGCACCAAGACAATTGACTTGTAGTTTTTGGTAGTTCCCTGCAAAAGCGTTTATAACTATATCTTGGACATGTCATTTGCAACAACCTTAGATGTAGTGGCTTACCCAATCCGTCTCAAGTTAAAATACTAGAACGTCTACGACGAGACAGTAACGATAATTGCTGACTTATTTGGGGTAAAAAAAATATACAAAGCTTTGCAACAAGATCAAAAGGAGGAAGAAGGCAAAGCTATATAGACCAATGTAGCCTTCATCCTCATGAAACTAATAGGCATGGCAATCAAACCTCTGATAAGTAAAGCAGATTATTTTGGCTAGACGTATGTAGGCAAATAATCTAGGTAAAAATTGATAGGATACTTATTTTGGGCCTTAACCTAATAGAAATGCTCAATAGAGAATAAGTTATAACTTATGTTAGAAGGGCAAAATGTAACTATATAAGGACACCGATAGCAAGGGAGAATTCATTATGTGTATTTTCAGATAGAAATATTTTGGGCAAAGTGAGAATATTTCTCCTCTGGGGAGCACTTTGCTCTGGGATTATAGAGATTTCTCTATGTAATAGTTTTAATTTCAATTAATAATATATTTTCTGTTTATCTAAATATTAAGTTTTGATTATTGCTCTGACCTACCAAATCTCAAGATGGAGCCAATGAACTGTTAATGTTGTGTAACTGCCTGGAACTACGGAACAATTGTCGTATAACTATCTAAAATTGCTAGATAATTGTCGAAAAATGCCATATAAGTGCCCGAACTTGCTGTATACTATCAGAAACTCCCAAAAAAAGTGTCGGAAAATGTCAAATAATGTTCGGTTAAGTGTCAAAAACTATCAGTTAACTATTGAAAATTGCAGGATAAATGTTGGAAATTGTCGATAACTACCAACAATTGCTGAATTCTCGAGAAAGCGCCGGCATTCATTCTATTCAAGATGATTGAAGAAGAATAAGTGTTAGAAGTGAGAATGGTTGTGAGAATTGGTGCGAAAGAAACAAGAATGGAAAGATTGAAAGAATCTCTCCAATCTTATCTGTCAAAGTTTCGTCAATTGTTGAAGGCAAAAATAGGTTCTTGTGGGGCGTGTTGTAGGTAACAAATGTGTTAAAGAACCATTGGAAAACCGAGTTCCAAACAGAGGTGATACCGAAAAAGGAAGTTGCAGAGGAAAAGAAACAAGTCATGAAACCAGACAACACATTGGAGGAACAACTCGTGCATAACTTGCAACTTTTTTTGAGTATGTCACTATCAATTAGGACGATATTCCTCCTATGAACCACCTCTAATAAATTTCTCATTCGCTCTGCAATTTTCTCTTGTGTCAAGGATGCAACTCAAACAAACATCCAGACCCCAATAAAAAAAAATACTAGTTTGGAAAAGCAGAAATTGTTTGTTGAGGGGCTGAATTTGTAGCCAACATTATTGGAACGGGCGAGTAAATACCAAAAATAACTTGAACTTAATGTACATGCTTTCCATTTGTGTAACCGTTGTGAAGGCCAGGTTTCATGTGTTGTGTGAAACAAGAGGATTTTAATCACGTGTCAATGTATTTAGAAAAATCTAAATTTGTTGTCATGTAAAAGCAAAACTCTTTCAAATGCATCCTAAAACTTCAAATCAACCTTTTCAAAAAGGAAAATCAAATCATAGATAAGTAAAAGGTTCAATCTATCTATGCCATTTATATAACCAGTTTAAATAAACTAAACCATAATCACTGCTTGTCTCATGAAGCCAATGAAGATGCAAGTTTCCTTACACTTGTTTAGCAAAAAAGACAAAAAGTACAAAGGAAAGTGGCATCATTTGGAGAGGAGGGAAAAATGAATTTCAATGAAATGTTTTAAGCCAAAAATATTATACAAAACAACAGTGATATCATATCACCATGTACCAAATCTTCTCTGGCCACCTTCCAAAATGTTGGTGCCCTTGGGGCTTAAAACTTAGACATTTCAAAGCAGCATCAACCATTGGCAATTCTAGATTTCTAGTTAGCTTTTTTAGTAATTTATGAGAACATCCTGAGGAAGTTGTTTGCATAAGCCATTGGTTTAACATCAGGGTGTGGCTGCAAAAACAAGAATGCATATCAACAACACATAGCATCCAAATTGAATGAAGATATGTATAATACTATCACAATGCAGCAGAATGTTTTCGATTGCGGATGGCAGACTATGGTGAAATGCAACAAAAAAATCCAACATTTTAAGCTGCCGTGTCAGTCATTAAACTCCCTGGCACCGCTATCACTCACAAAACAGCCACATATGGCAGCAGAGTAGTCAATCCCGGATAGCTGCGCAGAGCACCCGACTCCAAAAATGGGATGGCGGGATGGCCACTATTTGATCATTTTTTTGGACAAATTACATGAATAATAACTATAAACATGTGAAAAGCGAGTGCAGAGAAAGGTGAAGAGGAAGGAGGAATTTGTGATTTTTCTTTGGAACGGCTGAAGTGCGGAAACGTCAGTGAAGGAAGGTTAGGGTTGAGTCTCAACTCAATTTTGAATGAAAACCCCAAAATTACCCTTAACATTTTAAATTTAAGGGGTAATTACAGTTTTTCAGAGAGAAAAGGATAGCAGGACAGAAACCGGTCCGGATCGGTAACCGCTCCGCCGCTATTTACCCTATAGTGGCCAATATAGTTTTCTGCGCCGCTAAGGCTCTTCCAATAGCAGCGCTATCCCGCTATAGCGGAGCAGAGCAGTGGTCGGCCGCTAAGGCTCTGCTCTATTATAGAGCCGCTATTGACAACTCTGTATGAGAGTTATGAAGATTTGTGATGACTGATATTTGGCAGCACTAATTCTTATCCTTTTTCATTTTTTATTATGATGACAAGACATACTAGTATAACATTGGCAGACTTCAAAATATGAAAGATACTAACCACTGATGCGAATGTAATAATGTTAGGTTTCAAATCAGGCGCTTCAAATCGGATAAAGGCACCTTTGTTACCCATCTGCAAAAAGAAAACAATGAAAAATCAGCACATATATATTTCATACGAGGATAAGTGATTACTCAGATACATTAATATAAGAAGCGTGCTTGGCACGGTCACAATAATTTTCCGGCACATGCTATGAAGTTATTCAAGAAAGAATGTTGTGACAAAAGAGATATGTTACCTGATCACAGTAATTTGGAGCAGAGAACACAGTTATGAGTTTACCGTCATGTTCAATCTCATATCCCTCGTCCTTTACTTCATGTGATCGGACGACTAAATCTGTAAAATGATAATTCATATGAAGTCGCTGTTGAAAGAAGAAATAAAGTATTAGACAAATGGAAAACATACCCAAGTTATTTTCCTTCAAGAACCTTTTTGTAACATCTCCACCAAAAGAAAGTCCTACACCACGCTTGCTCGGGCCTCTTCCAGGGAGAGGCTGTGGATCACTCCATAGCAACTCACACATCAACCCTACACATACCGAACAAAGATACATAATTAAAACTACAATATAGACATGGATTTAGGAGAATGATTAAAAACAGATTATGATGAATCTTACCTTCCTCAGGAGGCTCGCAAAACCGATTAATTGATCGGATTTCAGAGAGTTTGACCCCGTCAACACTAAAAAGACCTCCGTGGACTACGAAAACTTTCTCATTTATCACATGAGCCAAAGGTAAACAGCAGAATACTTCCGCAAATAGTTCGACAAACGTTTCATTCAACTTTGAGCGCACCTCACCCTCAAAACCATATATCTTGTTCATGCTCTTGCTCTCGTGATTTCCTCTAGCTAGATATATGGCTGAAAATAATACCGCAATAAAACAAGTTACAACGTCTCAATTAACTAAGTGAAGTGAGAAAGAAGTATATAAATATTTATGTAAAATCTAATGGCACAAAAAGGATTAAGAGATAATAAATTATATAAAATCATCTCGTATCCAAAAAAATAAATGAAACCTAACATGCTAATAAAGATCTAGGGTTTACCTGAAGGAGACATGCACTTGAATGCAAACAAAGTGAGGATGACTTCCAAAGAAAATGATCCTCTATCCACAAAGTCACCATTAAATAGATATGGATTTTCTTCTGAAGGAAGACCATTGAGCTCAAATATATTCATAAGATCATAAAACTGCAGTCATGAAATATAAAATTGAAAGGGTTATGAATTAAATAATAACAAAATAAAATAAATCACAGAAGCCGAGCAACATGAATTCCAGAATTCTTAAGGATAGATCCACACAGCAATATAAAAAAACCAATTAACCGATTACCTGACCATGCACGTCACCACAAACAGTAAAGTGTTTTCCATTTGGAACAGTTATGTCAACAAGAGAAGGCAAAGCTTGCAACATCTCTTTTGTTTGCAATACAATCTGGAATGCATACCTAAAACATTGGAGCAGAACAAATTTGAATACATTTCAAGTAAAAACATACATACAACAAAAACTCTTTCTTCGGTACCGTTTATGCAAGCATTGCTGTTTCTTGAAATCATCCATCATTTTCTTTACAAAATCCAACGTAATAACATCTCCCTCTATTTTTGCTCCAGAATACTGTGGCTCGACATCTATTTTTGAAATATAAAACCGAAAATAAATCATGGTCATGAGTGAAATCAAATGGCTACAACGGAACACAAAATTACTTTAATAGAAAATAAAATTAGCTTAATAAGAATTGCATTTAACAGCACAAAAGAAAAGTTCAAACTTGCAAACAGCTGAAGAAAATAAAAAATATTAGACATAACATATATCGTTTCATTATTATCCACTTTTACAGTTGAAAATTAAATATACCCTGACAAGTAAAATCAAAAGTACACAGCATCATTATGCTTATTACTTATTAAATCTAGAAAACAAACCAACAGCAATGTGCAAAAGCATGGTCCTATATTAGTCTAAGAAGAGTAAAGAACACATTCTAATGATTTAAGACACATGAGATGGTCTTTTATTTCTTAGGCTGAAGTTTGATGCAATAAAAATAACCAATACAAAGAATTGTATTGCATTACAAAACAGTTGATTTCCTAATGCATTATCAATAATGATTCCACTTGACTTGTATCAAAATTTTCAATTGAATTAGGATCAACCGTCCTATGATTAGTTTGTTTTAGATCTTGATTAATTTTAAGCTTAGACTCAGGTCTAGTAAATGCTCCTAAATGTACCAGAATTGTAGCCATTCCACCAAAATGTCCAAAAGACCAACAGCAAACCAACGACAACAACCGCAGCTACTAATGTGGTCTTTGATGTCCTCAACAACATAACCACCACTGCCATAACTGCTACTGTCACTGCTGCTATGGCACCTTCGGTTGGCACCGAAGAATTGCGGCCCTTTCCTATAATGAAGAGTGATAACGTATAGTGAAGTATGCAAACATCCAATGCTGATATGCATAAAATGGCCCTAGAACTTATGGAAACGCTTGAAGAGAAAAAAAATTGGATGATTAAGGTAATGTTATGGAACATGGGAGCACAACTACTGCGTTGGGGGAAAAATATAACCCTATGTATCAACAAAGGTGATAAAAAATGCTTAATGTGAATATTTTTAAGGCATGTTCTTCAAACATGAGACTCAACTACTGATGAATTTCCTTTTAATTATTTGTTTATTTTATTTTTCTGCCTTCTAAAATCTAAAATACCAATTAAAAGGAAGGAGCAAGAAACACGACGCAGAAATCTGAAGTTGGAGAAAAATAGGAAGCAAAATCATCTATATTGGCCACGAAAACAAATCCACCAAGGAGTTACATATGCAGCCAAGAACTAGGTTGTAAATCAAATCCCCAAATTCATAGCAAAATGGTCCGTTAAACTGCTCTCATTGCTACTCAGACCACTATCATCACTACTACTTGTTCAAAGAAATAATACACTTATTCAAATATTGCCAAAAGGGATGCAAATAACTTCAAATTATAAATTGAAACTAGATATTAATTGACATCTTACTCCATCTAATCTACCCCGTGAAAATGAACAAGTTCAAAGACGGAAATCACATCCATAATACAATTAAATCGGGAGACCAACAGAACAATTTCATGAAAAAATGAAAGTCACGTCCCTAACCATAATTGCTTCATTTTACGTCAAAAGGTATTTTTAAATTTAGACCTTGTACCAAACTTTCAAACAATTAAAAAACTACAGTTACTCCTCTAAGGGCTTACTTTTTGAACTTCACATAACGAGATATGATAAAAAATAGCATAAAAAACTTGAAAATAAAAAAGTGGTCCACAAAGGAAGGCGGCTTAGAAGAAGAAGAAAAATAAATAAAACAAAGATATTAGCATAAGAAACATATTTGAAATAGTACCTATTGAACGAAAATCTATGGTTTCGGCTATTGGGCGTTTCACAGATCCTGGTACAGCAATAGCTTCTTCAAATTTCAGTTTCATAACTGCTTTTTCACATTCCTTCAATTTTTTTGTTGCATCAGGATCATTTGGACACATTTTCTTGACCTGGTCAGTATAAGTATATCATATCAAACGTGTTTGTAGATTGAAACAAGTAGATATTACAAAACAAAAGAAAGTGAGGTAGTCAAAGTTATTTGGAAGGAAAGTTTAAGCTAGAGTTATTCGCTTAAAAGATATCCCAAATGAGGTCAAAGAACTGTCTGCTTCAGCGAGCAGATGACTTTCGTGTAAGAACATTTCAATAAAATTTCTGGACAAGAAAAACTATCAGATTCTAACAATTTAAACAAGCATTAGCAACTAATAAGTATTTCTTTAGGAAAGATTGTGCTAGGGGCCATGTTAGTTTGATGGCTTGCATTTAAAATTGTGTACGCCATTGGACTGACTTTCATTCTCCATCCAGTTTTGTTACAGATTTGTATATACAATCTTTTAATGATCTGCTAAAAAGTCAGGACTTCTATCCTTCAAACCATAGTCCCATCTCTTAAGTTTTACACAACATTCAGTGGTTGGTGGTAGCAAATGAAACAGACGGACAACTATTGTACAGAAAAATGACACCGCGTTAAGAGTAACCCTGCATGCCTCCACCTAAGAGTCCTCATATTTACCCTAGACTATAACATGTGGATCAAATTCAAGCTGAAACCACTGGAGTAATTCTTGCTCAAAAGCCCTTCACGTTGCACTTTGGCTGACCTTTTCCCGACAAAACCAACATTTGAAATCTCCCCTACTCAGCGGCATCACAACCTGTGATTGCTTCTCCTCAAGTACCCTGATGGCCTCTAAATATTGATTCCAATAAGTCTCCTTTTCAATTAAGGTGGTAATCATCTTCGAGATGCAATACCCGCAGCTCCAAGATCAGAGCTCTAAAACCAGTTGATAGGAACCTGTATTTTATTAGAATCTCAAGGGAAGGAATCTCCCCTGGTTATTGATAGAATGCACACCTTTGAGGGTTTGTAACCTCCCTCCCTTTATTTTATTTATACATCACAACCACGCCCTTTGGACACTTTTGAAAACATTGCCTACAATATCTATCTTTCCTTCGCTGTACTTTATTTTCCATCATTAAGGGTAGCTCTAACTCTTTTCTGGACTATATTAAACCAGGAAAAACTACTGAACATATTTTCAAGGAGTTATACCTATTTCTTGTCACATAAGTTTCTATCGTTAATGTTAGATTCTCTAAAAGGCTTAAATTACAATGTTCTATATAAAATATTCTAAACAATTTTACATTCTCTGAGATTCTCTTTGGTATTACTATTATTTATATGCTTAATGAAAGGGCTATGAATACTGATCTATCAATGTTCTCCAATAATGCATTTCAACTGATTACAAATATGTTAGTTACCTGCTGAAAATCTTTCAGTGCTTCCTTGAATTTTCCCAACCCAAGATGAGCAGCACCTCGCCTGTAATATCCCTATAACAATAAAGCATAATTGATTGAAACAAATATTATTATCAAATATAACTAAAAACAAGAGAGGGTCTAAAGTTGTAAGAGTTGAAGAACCTTTGAATATTTAGGATCAACTTCAATAGCCTTTGTAGCATCTAATATCGCGCTACCGTATTCCTCAAGCCGGAGATGGGCAAAGGCACGATTAGCATAGTAAACTGCACTTTGACTGTTTAGCTCAATTGCTTGTGTATATAGATCAATAGCGTGGGAAAATTTCCGATCTGAAAAAAGAAATTCACGGGATCGGCAAATGTTGGCATATAGAAGTGTTAAAGAAGCAGGTCATTGCAAACAAGATTCACAATCTTTATTGTATGTAGCATCACCTTAATCAATAATATGCAGACGGAAGCACATTCCTAAATCACATGATATTTTCTCTAATTACGTGATAACCGACAATGAAGTATGAAAGCGTTACTCATCAAATTGAATCAGATTCCATGATTCGGCTTAAGTTTAATTTACCACAAAACTAATTGTGATGTTAAAGCAAGTAAAAACTCATTGTATCATTTAAAAACAGTCTGAATTTTAATCACCTTTGAATGCTTGGTTAGCAAGGACTTTAAATTCTTCAGCCTTCGCGACATTATGCTCTTCAGTTGCCATTCTAGTTAAAGCTTTTGTTGTATATGGTGATGAAAAACTCAGAACATAACAGAGTCAATCCTTTCCTCACAATAATCAACCAACTACAATAAAACAGAAAAAAAATATTAAAAGTGTAATATTAATCAGCACAGAAAAGAATCTATATCAGAATTAACAGAATCTATATCAGAATTCACAGACTCTAGTTTAGATTAATTGCTTGAAATCACCAATCTTATGTAATAGGTCAACTCTCCTAATCTTTCTATTCCTTCTAATGAAAATTTTGTAACCCTAATAATTGTAATCACATCATTATCATATTCAACAATAAACATAATCATTCACAATTACAAACCCAGCATCCTTGGAGTTTAAACTAAATCAAAGGGGGATTTGAGAATACACAAACCCCAACAAAAAAAAAATCAAAACTTGACAAAAGGGCATCCTTAAATTTTTGTTTCAGCTGCACAAACACGAATAGCCATAACTAAAAGGAACAAAACACTCTTTATATTGGCAATATAATTAGAATACACAAAAAAAAAAACCGAGTTATAAAAAACAAGCATGAGAACAAAACAACACATGCAAAAAAAAAATGATTAATTCATTATAAGAGTGGTTGTTAAAGAGAAACACTACAGTATGAAGAAAAAGAAGAAGAAGATCTAGACATGGTTCAATTGCATATGTGAAGAGATTGAAGAAAAAAAAATCAGAGAGAGAGAGAGAGAGGGGGGGAGGGAGAGAGAGATTTACCGGTGAGCGTTGGGGGCGCTGGAGGCTGGATGAATAGTGAGGGGATTTCTTTGAGTTGAGACACGGACACCCTAATAACAATCTACTTCATTCTTCAACTTCCCACTTTGCAATGTTTTGTTTTATTAAATTTTATTATTTATTGTTAATTATTAATTATTAATTATTAATTATTAATTAATATAAAATTAACTATCAATTAAGAAAATAATTATATAAAAATTGTGTAATCTCAGCAAATGAAAAATGGAAGTAAGATAGATATAATATAAAATAAAATAAAATAATTAAAGATTTTTTTTTATTATTATAACCAAACTATTAAACTAATTTTTTTTAAAATTATATTAGGACATGGACACATATATAAATATCAAAAGATTGATAGTCGTATTTTGAAGTTAAAATGATTAATTATAAAAATAAAATAAAAACTACATAATATCTTTGTAAATATAAAATAGTATAATATCAATTCAGATTGAATAATCAAAAAAAAATATTGTTTTAATAGTAAGATATAAGCAATGGGACAATGGGACTAGGGAAACTACGTGTCCTTCGACATACACGACAACAAAGACAAAATAATAATTGACTCAATACTCCTCAACACGCACAGAAACAGAAGAATAACAACTACTTATGTTCCTCAGTACCATCTGCAACTCTGTGCCGCTCGACAACAGTATCGTGCTCATCGGTACGCCTCGCAGCCTAATATCGCTCGACATCCAACATATATATTCTTCGACACACCTCGCAGACTAAATGCCGCTCGGAACCTAGCACCATTAGCATCCTCCTCGACCACTAGTTTCGGCCAACAACATAGAATAATACAACAGCAGAACGACCATCACAACATAATTCATGATTTCCGGCCAACTGCTCAAAATAACATAGCAACGGGCAACTATATCTACTTTCAATATATTCACTAATTATACAAGACAGTCACGATGAACCCTTCATATAATGACCACAGCAATAATTTACTAATTTTCCTGTCAACCGCTCGGAATATCACAACGTCATAGCGACCACATCAACAGGTAAAATATACATTAACCTAATCATTGATTATATCGGGCAATTATACATACAACTCAAAACGCTCACAACATAGCAACCGGACAACTTCCTATAACAGGTTCATTAATAAGTCATACGGTAACTCCATAAACGACCACAGCATGAGGAAACGAGCAACTTTAATAATAATTTCATATAAAATTAACTATCAATTAAGAAAATAATTATATAAAAATTGTGTAATCTCAGCCAATGAAAAATGGAAGTAAGATAGATATAAAATAAAATATAAAAAATTAAAGAATTTTTTTTATTATTATAACCAAACTATTAAACTATTTTTTTCTAAATTACATTAGAACATAGACACATATATAAATATTAAAAGATTGATAGTCGTATTTTAAACTTAAAATGACTAATTATAAATAAAAAAATTATATAATATATTTGTAAATATAAAATAGTATAATGTCAATTCACATTGAATAATCGAAAAAAAATATTGTTTTATAATGATAAGATATAAGCAACTTTTTTTAATAGTAAGACAGAATATATACATATATATGGGTTGGTCATTCTATTCGACTATCTCGAGACGAAATATTCTAGAATTAAATTAGACATTCAATTCACTTTTAAATATTTTCTTGATTGATGAATCATCATGTACTCAGTTACAGGAGATCCGTATCTTTAGCACATTCAACAGTCTTCTGCATTTCATGTTTAAAAGATGTTGAGGCATTTATTCATCTTCCTTATATATGTGGAATGGTATCATTTCAGATAACAAGTTTCTAATTCAATTTGATATTCTCTCATTATTCACATACTGATTTGAGTGTTGGACTGATAACCTTGCAGGTACACCCCTACTTCGTCATATTAGAAGCTTTCCTCCATCATAGCTTCTGCAACTTCACATTTATGGTTCCAAAACTAAACAATTGTGTCGTTTGTGGGTATCGATTAGTGATTCTCGCTTTGCATTAAGAACAACTCGTTCTCAACCCGGAGAAAGTTTTCTACGAAAACAAGTGAGCACGGGCGGTAACCTCTCTGAAGATGCTCAAGAAGAAAGATCCATATCTAGCTCCTCACTTATCATCGTCAATTGATGCATTTCGAAGCGACACGACATCGATCCAAAGGTTCAGCAAGTCGATCAATCTAGGTTAGGATTCATGGATCAAGAAAAGATTGATGGAATCGAGAACTCTGATTTGCCTTTGGTTATCTTTGGTCTAACCCTAATAGGACTCTTAGTAGATGACAGAAACTCTTGTAACGTCCTTTACATAGACACGTTGGAATCGTTAGGCCTCAAACAGACAGGTCAAATTTTGTCTGGTAGAGAAGACTTGTTAGCCTTCAATGGTTCACCAACCATCCTTGTAGAGCGATAGATTTGACGCTATCAATTGGAGAAGGGATGGGTCAAAGAATAATGACTCTTCTGTTCCTCGTGGTACAATGCAAAAGCGTCTTCAAAGGCATTCAAGGAAGGTCCTTCTTGGCGAAGCTGAATGCGGTTGCTTCTAATGTCCATCTGAAGATAAACTATCACGAAGAAAGAGGAGTACCAATCATTGTAAATGCATATTTACGAGAAGCAAGGAGAATCAGCAAGGTAATCCGCAAAGATTTTGACGCTGTCATTGAGGAACAACGATAAGTTCGATCTTGACGCACGCGAAGGGGAAATCTGACCTACCTCAGACGGCAAGTTCGAGTCTATGCAACTAGGAGATGATCTGACCAGGTCAGCTAAGATCGAGTTTGGGCTTTCCCCCAAGGTAAGGTCCATGTTAATCGAATGTCTCCAAGTAAATATTGACCTATTTGTTATCTCTCCACGCTAAATGCTTGACTTTGATCCTTGAGTGGCTTTTCATCAGTTGAACCTAGACGTTGATTCCAGGTACGTATTCTGTAACACCCTAAACCCGAAACTTATAAATAAAGGATTACTCCCAATTTAAGGTGTCACTAACGACAACCATTCAAACAAAACATAATCATTTTTAAAACATGCAGCAAAATCATAAATCATACAACACATGTCATCACATGCTCGCATTCACTTAGAGTATCACCGCAGTGGAATCACATAATTCACAATAATAAAACATATTAACTTCAATTTTGGTTTTATAAAGATTTAACTTTCATAAATTAATTCAAATAGAGTTATAATATCCAACTCATAACAACTTTAAAGCAATTCAACTTAAACGGTATTAAACTTCAACATAAACAAGTAACAAAATTCAAAAACATAACTTAAACGTTCTCAGGTCCGATATTAGATGAATCAGAGCATAACCACTAAAATAATAACAAACTAAATAGAAATAAACTCTAGGGAGTTAATCTTCCACTCATAGCAACAACGCCTAATTTTGACTATCTGCAAGATGTCCATGATGGACAACATCAAAGCAAAGGGGGTGAAAATTAACATTAATAAGTTAAAGGCATAAATTGCAAGCTAGAATTCAAACATCTACACATTCAACATATAAGCACATAACATCACTTCAAAACAATATTCTCACACATAAGTCAACACCATTCACAATTACAATTAAGCATATAACTCATTTATGCAATGCAACTCGACTATGCAACTCGATGCATATGCATGTGGTACAAACTCAACATTTGGTTCTCTCAGGAATCGAGTGCCCTCTCTGAACCCATGAGCCCTCTCTCTGAGCTCCAAGCCCTCTTTCTGAGCTTGGGACAAACCATTAGTCCCCTCTCCGAACTAGTGATCATGTCTTTTGACACAACTCAATGATGCATGAATCATATATATCAATATAAATGTGTTAAGACCCCTCTCTGATCTTAACATAGTGCACTGACAACTCTAATAACCCCATATATGGATTACCACACATCAACAATTCACATATGCACAATACAACATAAATTTAGTGCAACTAAATAATACAAATATTCTCCCCAATTAAATTATTATCTCATAAATGCAGCAGCACAACAGTCATAATTAATATATTCAAACATCCCATCATCATCACAACTCACACATCATACTAGGCACAATGTCAAAACTCTCATTTAATCATAGTTACTCAATTAAAGTGTTTATAATTTAGCATTTCACATTAACTCAACACCAATAGAGCCTAATAGTGCCTAGACAACCCACGAAAGTTGAAAAATCAGAATCAATAACTTAATAC